GCTGCTTCTCACCCTCCACCTTCACCTCTCACCCCCACCCTTCCTATCTTCCACCTTCCAGCCCCCTATCACCTCCCCATCTTTCGCCCCCACCCGACCCCCACTCTTTACTTCTGGATACTGGGGGTGATGCCTGCTGCCCACAGGCCACACAGAGCTGAGTGTGCCTTTCTGCCCTAGCCTAGTGTAGAGACAAATTTTGATTAAGCTGCTGTGAAAGCTTGGGGATCGCTACCTACAAATGGTACACATTTTTAACAGTAATGGTCTGCAAAAATCAAATCAAAGAAGAAATTCCTTACCATGAATGATTCCAGAGGCTCCTAAGTGGCCTTGTTTTAGAAGTAGGAGATGTTGCTTTCATTTCTTTGTAAAACCTCACCTCCTCCAGCTTCTCCCCATGAAAACCTAGTCCCCCCCAATGCTCTCAAGCTGAATATTCATTTATTATTTTTGTTTTTAAATAGACTTTATTTGATATTATTTAGTAAATATTGTAAAGAACTGACATCTTGACAGTATTGAGTAATCCTATCCATAAACATGAAATGCCTCCTTATTTATTTAGTTCTTTGCTTTCTTTTACAGGACTTTTGTAGTTTTCAGCATACAGATATTGTAGGTATTTTGTTAGATTTATACCGAAGTATTTCATTTTCAGGGGTGCTAATGTGATGGTACTGCATTTAAAAATTTAAATTCCATGTGTTCATTGCTGATATATAGGAACGCAATTGACTTTGTATATTTACCTTATATCCTGCAGCCTTACTATAACCACGATTAGTTCAAGGAGATTTTTTTGCTGATTCTTTCAGATTTTCTTCTAGACAATCATGCCATCTGTGAACAAAGGCAGTTTCATTTCTTCCTTCCCAACTGGTATTTCCTTTCTGTCTTACTGTCTCACTTTTGGACACTGGGGATGATGCCTGCTGACCATAGGCCACACAGAGTCAAGTGTGCACTTCTTCCCTAGCCTGGAGAAGAGGCGTATTTTAATTAAGCTGCTGTGAGTTTGGGGGATCACAACCTAAAAATGGTAGCACATTTTTAGCAATAATGGTTTACAAAAATGAAATAAAAAGAAGAAATTCTGTAGGTTTTCATTGGAATACTGGAACTTCTAGTACAATATTGAATTGGAGTGGTGAGAGGGAACATCCTTGTCTTGTTCTTGATCTTTGAGTTTCTTGCCATCAGATATAATGTTAACTGTAGAGTTTTTTGGTAGATTCTTTTTTTTTTTTTTTTGAGACAGAGTCAAAAGGCTGGAGTGCAGTGGTGCAGACTCAGCTCACTTCAGCCTCTATCTCCTGGGCTCAAACTATTCTCCTGCCTCAGTCTCCCCAGTAGGTGGGATTACAGGTACCCACTATGACGTCCAGCTAATTTCTGAATTTTTTTTTAGTGGAGATGGCTTTCACTGTGTCAGCCAGGCTGATCTTGAACTCCTGACCTCAAATGATCAGCTGTCTCAGCCTTCCAAAGTGCTGGGATTACAGGCATAAGCCACCATGCTCAGCCCATAGATATTCTTTATCAAGTTGAGGAATTTCCTTTCCTACTTTATCAAGAGACTTTTTTTGTTTTGTTTTGTTTTGTTTTAAAAAGACCTTTTTAAAAAGAGACCTCTTGTTAAGAGGTGTTGGATTTTGTCAAATGCTTTGTCTGCGTTTATTTATATAATTATGTGATTTTTCATCTTTAACATGATGAATAAAAATAATTGATTTCTGAATATTGAACCAGCTTTGCATACCTGAAATAAATTCTGCCTGGTTGTGGTGCATACTTCTTTTTATACATTGTTGGGTTCAATTTGCTAATATTTGTTGAGCATTTGTGCATCTCTGTTTATGAGAGATATTGGGCTATAGTTTTCTTTTAATGTCCTTGTCTGGATTTGGTATTAAGGTGATGTTGGCTTCATAGCATTAGGAAGTATGTTCTCTGATTCTGTCTTCTGAGAAAGATTGTAGGGAATTGAAATAAATTATTCCTTAAATGCTTGATGGAATTCACCAGTGAACACATCTGGGCCTTGTGCTTTCTCTTTTGGAAGGTTATTAATTATTGGTTCAATTTCTTTAATAGACATAGGCCTATTCCAATTGTTTATTTCTTCTTGTGTGAGTTTTTGCAGATTGTGTCTTTCAAGAAATTTTTTATTTAGATTATCGAATTTATGAGCATAGAGTCATTCATAATATAGGTGCTCCTCAAGTTGGGATGGGCCTACATCCCAATAAACATATCATATGTTGGGAATATTGTAAGTCAAATGCAAATAAGACCCTCATAAACCTGTCATGAAGTTGAATTCTGTTATTTCTGTATTTCTTTATTGTGTTTTTAATGTTCATGGGATCTGTTATGTTACCTCCTTTTTTCTTTCTTATATTGACAATTTGAGTCTTATCTCTTTTCTCTTAACCTGGCTGTAGGCTTATCAATTTTGTTGATATTTTCAAAGAACTAGCTTTTGGTTTCATTAATTTTTTTCTACTGATTTCCTTTTTTCAATTTGATGGATTTTTGCCCTAATTTTTATCATTCTTTCTTTCCTCCAGCTTACTTCAGATTGACTTGTTCTTCTTTTTCCAGTTTCCTAAGGTGGAAGCGTAGATGATTAATTTTAGACTCTTCCTAATCTCTAGTATGTGCACAGTTTAGTCTCTTTGTAGCCTGACTAGAAGGAAGGCTTTCATCTGGATTTTTGTTTCCTCTTTATTATGCACAGCCTCCCCCGGCTGTCTGGGGTTAGGTTTAACATTTCATGTGTCTTAATGCAGATGTGTCTGGAGTCTAGGTTTGTCCTGGCTGCCTAGTAGTGTTAATCAGCCATCAGCATTTCTAGTGCGTAACAGGTGAGTCCACACAAACAGTGCTCTTGGCTATAAGTTCTTCGGGCAGGAGCTAGACTTGAGTATTTATGGCCATGAAGTGAAGTACCCTCTCTATTTCCTTAGGCAGTAAATTCATAGACGTGTGTTTATGTTGGCCAGTCTATATACTGAATATGCTAACTGGTGGTTCTCAGCTTTGGCAGCGTGTTGGAATCATTGGAGGAGCCTAAGACCCCTGGTGCCCAGGCCCCACCCGGAGCTCCTTATGAAATTGGCCTGGGGCCTGGGCTGTGGCTACTAAAAGGTCCCCAGGAGGTTTGGAGGTGAGAACAGGTAGAGTCTATTGTCTGAGACGCTTCCCTGCCCTAAACTGGTCTTCGCTTAGTCCAGTTCGCCCAGAACTTACATGCGTGTCAGTCATTAAGGAATGAGAATAAGGAGTCAGCATTAAGGCAACAGCCCAACGTTACCGGTCTCAAGCTGGGTTCCTTGATGCCCCCCAGCTTCCAAATAAGTATGCTGCTGGAGTTACTCAGGGGGCCTTTCTGGGGTAGGAGGGCTGAGGAGCCCCACGAGAATTAAACAACCCCAGTGAAAAGAGGCTGGAAAGTCTTGCAAAAAGCTTCCTTTCTGAACTCGCCCGACAGGTCACACCCTTAGTGAGGCTTAGTGACCAAGGATCGGGAGACTCTCTGATCCAGAGATCTCTTCTCCCTCTGGTGCTTACAGAGATGGTGGGAAGGGTTCCTGCAGGAGGAAAACATTCTAACTTCGGAGTTTTTCTGTTCCTTCAGCTGCGAATCGGTAGAGCCATGAGCAGACGGTGTGAGCTTCTCAAAGCGCCTTGGGTCGGGATTTCTAATATGCACAGCTGAGGTGTAGGTTAGGGGTGGGGTGGGAGTGGGGGTTGAAAGTCCAGAGATTGATGTTTCTTTGGTAGGTTGATGGAGGGGGAGAAGAAAGAGTGGCCACATTAGTGGAGGCAGGAGTGACAATAAAAATGTGAGGAAAGAGAGCATTGGGGAAAACAGAGAGGAGGATGAACATTGCCTCGGGAGTCCCTGCAGGAGGGTGAGGAGAGCTGGCTCTCCCATGAGAGGGCGGGCTCCTGGAAACTCGTTTGCACAGACTGATGGAGAGGGGACCCCCACGAAGGCTGGAGAGTGAAGCCAGGGAGTTCCGCTGACCCTCAAGCACAGCCTTGATGGTGGCCTGTGAGGGTGAATGGACCTAGCCAGGTGTCTGCTTCCTGCTCCCATCTTCTACTTCTCAAGGGTGCAAGTCCCAGGGGATTGCATCCTGAACTTCTCGAAAGACTGCTCCTGACAGGCCCCACCCCAGCTTTTTCAAGTGTGAGCTTTATCTGTGAATGTGCCGGCTCGGGGTGGAGACGGCTGATGGACCACATGCAGGCCAGCAAGCAGGGCAGAGTGTTCAGCCTCCTCTCCCCGCCACCCCGACCCCCAGCATCCATTTCTTCAGGAAAAGTTTATGGGCAGGCTGGAGAACTGAAAGCCCAGGAACATGGAGCCTGTACCTCTGACCCTGCCTGGTTCACCCTCCGGTGGGGGACGGCAGGGGCAACAGGGGCTCCTCTGGGGAGCTATGGTGCTTGTCCCTGGTGGGTGCCCAGCATGCCTAGGGAGGAAGGAAGGCTGCCTGGAGGTGTTGGCATCGAGGCGGGGCCGGGCTCATGTGGAAGAAACACATTCTTGGCTGAGAGATGGCCAGGCAAAGGCCTGGAGGTGGGAGGGGCATGGGAGCCAGCAGATCCCAGTGTTGGGCTATCCTGAGAGGGCCAGGGAGGGAGCAGGAGAGGGAGGTGAGGTGGCCCTAGTGGTGAAGGTTGGGGAGGCCATGCCTATGGGACAGTGGGCTGGGACATTCCAGAGCTCAGTCCCAGAGGCCTACGCTTATGGTTACTGAAAGGTGTTCAGGTGGTTTGGAGGTAAGCTCAGCCAATGAAATGGACTGGCCATTGATAGTGACCAGGGTCTTTTTGCAGACAGCATCTCTAAAGTGGGGGAAGCCCCTTGTCCCCTCGCCCTCTCCTTCTGGGCCAGTTCTGATGGTCTGGCTGATTCTGAGCAAAGCGTGTTCTCTTTTTGCTGCCTGTGGGATATGCTTAAACTTCCTTTGCTTCCTTCATAGATCCGGACAAAGGACAGAGTCTTCGACAGTATCAGCCACCTCATCAACCACCATCTAGAGAGTAGCCTGCCCATCGTCTCTGCAGGGAGCGAGCTGTGCCTCCAGCAGCCAGTGGAGAGGAAGCAGTGACCTGGCCAGCGCTGCTCCCAGCACTGCGCACCAGGTCAGGAGGACCCGGAGTGGGCTGCAATCGCGGCTGTAGGAACTGGGGCAGCTGCCTGTGGCTCAGAGTCTTCTTCAAAAGCTCCAGAAGGAAGGCTGCTTCTAAGGTCAAGTTTCATAAACTTGGTTCTGAATTTCTCATATGCATATTAAAGGTGTACATACTTATACATCCTGTACAAATTATCCCTCTATATTTATATTTTTTAAGACTAAGAAAGATGTAAGACTAATGTTCTGTGCTGTATGTTTTTAATGGAAAAAAGTTTGACTGTAGTTGTCCAGGCAAAAATTTCATTCAACTGACCCATTCTGCTGGGAAATGTCACTAGAAAGGTGTAGCCTGCAGTTTTACCTGATAAGCACAACTGGAGGGGACTAGAAACGCAGAATTGTGATGGAATCGTGAGGCGTGCTGCCCAGAAAGTGCTTAGCCCAGCACTGAAAGCTGTGAGTTACTGGTTCTGAGGCATGGCTGTGCTTGCTGGAGGGAGCGGGCATCCTCCCTTGGCCTCCCCAGGACACCTCCTGTGCCCCCTGCACTGCACACCACAGACGGCTCACTGCCGCTTCACTAAAGAGCAGGTGGCACTCCAGCTCCTCTGGGTCCTGCTGAGCACAGGACCTTGTCACCCTTGATCCCAGTTATGTGAGGAGTACTTGGGAATTCATTTCATGCCAAAAATGGCACAAAAAAAACCTCGCCAATCAAAAGCTCGATTGACAAATGCTTCCCTGTTCTCATGCATCTAATGCTAAAATGGGTATTTGTAGAAGGGGTGGTCGGGGCGAATTTCTGGTCTGTGTCTCCTTCTGGTCGCTGGTTGACTATAGGCTGCTTGTGGTAGTTGCAAGCAAAGTTCCCCTCATGCCTTATATTCAGCCCGGGAGAAGGCTGCATGAGAGCAAGAGCAGGTCCCATTCCAGAGCTCAGTCCCGGAGACTCAGGTAAGGGGGCTTCTGGGGCTGTGTGTGCCAGAGGCCTGACCCAGCCCCAGGAGTCACTGGAATCCATTTGCCGTTCCGCCTCTGGGGTGAGGGATGGGGGAAAAGCCTGCTGTCCCTAGACAAGGTTTCCCAGTCGCTGCAGGGAAGGGCATGCGTCCCAGCCCACTCTTTGTCTTGATTCCCTTCCTTCCAGGTAAAATACTGTCATTTCCTGAGAAGTCATTTGGTGTTAGAAAGCTGGCAATGTTTATAGCTTTTAAATATTATCTGGGCTGAAACCGACCCGTGATTCTGACAGATATCCTTTAAAAAACAGATGGATCCATTTGCTCGTTGGCAGCTTGGCTCTCTTTCTGGTGAGACCCCACAGGGTATAGCACCCTGTACGGTATGGGTCAGTGGAACAGAAAGACACCCCGAACACACTTAGAGCTGGACAGTGATAGATCTGATCCCGTAAGGAGAGTTACGAGGAGGCTGAACAGTCTGGCAGAGAATAATACTGCTAAGTTCTAATGCCCTCGGCGTGCGCCCCGTTTCTGCCCTGGAGTGTGTGTGTGGCCAGATGGAAGGACCCGTTACAGCTAGCCAGTGAGGATGAGTCAGGGCAGGCCCCAGCCTTCGCTGGGGATTTTTGCCCTTTGAGGGTCTAATGAGTTAGAGATGACAGTGAAGTCAGTGTTCTAGAATGTTCTGCAGTGGATAGAAACTCTGGAGAGTCTGGCATAATCTAGACTGCCCTGCTGCTTCCTGAAATGGTTTTGGCTTCAGGCGTCATGTGGACGTTCTGCTCAGTGGTCCAGAAGCAGAGGGCTGCAGGGGATGCCTGCAGCAGCTGCATCGGCCTCCTGCCCCAAGATGGCGCAGACTTGGCTGCTCTGAGATCTACCCTGGGCATCTGTCCTCTGGAAGGCCTGGAGCCCTGGAGACACACACGCAGCTCTGATCCACCTGCGTGTAAATGTGCACCACATAGAAAAATGTGCAAAATGACCTTCTTTTAACACTCGTGCATTCCCCTCTTGTGATAGGTCAAAATGCTATTACAATGTTCAGAGAGAATAGCAGAACAGGAAATACGAGTCAGGAGCTGTGAATGCTGTAGCATTTCATTTACTTTATTTTTCTCTTGGGGGGACTTGAATGGTAATCTGCAGCTTTAGTAGCTCTTGATGTGAAGTCAGTGTCTAGTTCAATGGTGACAGAAAATATATATAATTTTTTTTTGCATGAGAATCAATTTAGAAAATAAAAAGTATTGGAGTCAAATTTTTTTCTTTTTAATATTAATTCAAAATATATATTTTTAAGCTTGGATTATAAGGTTGATTACACTAGAATAGTGCCAGTGAAGCGAACAGGCTTCAGACATAGCAGATGGCAGCGATTTTCTAATCTTTGTTCCCTTCCATTTGTAAAGTGTGTTAGAGCGCACATTAGTTATCCCGACTCTTTCCTCCAGCGTCGTGTGCTGGGCCATTCCTGTGAGCCTCATTGACACATGGGGAAACTGAGGCAGGAGCTGATGCTGCACCTTGCTGGAGGCCATGTTGTCATCTGGCTGCAGCGCTCTTCTGCTCACTCAGCATTTCCTGAGCTCTGCTGTGTGCCAGCCTGTGCTTTGAGCTCAGGATTCCAAGGTAAAGGCAATGGAGCCTCCTCCTTGTGTAGCCTGGGTCCCTCTTCCCCCTGCTTTCTCAGACCACATCTCTGCCTGGGCAAGGCAGGAAGCTGAACAATGAACGCAGGGGAGCGGCACTATGCCCTGCCTTCCAGGGCCTCAGGCTTCCAGGACACAGTTGCTGCTGCTGTGCTGGGCCACCCTGAGCCTGCAGAGTGCACCTGGGCCCTGCTGCCCCTCCAACGGGCACCCCAACACTTAACCCAGAACTCTGTGTCTTCTGGGAGTACAAGATGGGGGGTGGCAGTCCTAAAACGGCCCCTCTGCCCTTACAGAGTGGCCCCGGAGACCCCTATCCAGCTTTCCTCTCCCTATGAATGAATCAGCTATGCTTCCAATGACATCTCTGTCCCACAGAGGCCGGCTGGGCCTCTCATGGGGGTGCTCACTGTGGTTGAAGTCAGCTTTAATTCTTGACCCTCCAAGGTAGCCTCTGAGTAGCTCACTGGAGAATCGGATGGGCAGGTGATAAACACCACAGTCAAATGACTCAATCTTAAATCCGGTCCTTAGGACACCACCGTTGCTGCTTTTGTATTTGAGGGGTCTAAAGACTGTGTGTCCACTCAGCCTTGATGAGCGAGTGGCCATTTTCTCAGGCCATCTCTAATGTTGGGGTAGTGGACAAAGGCCTGACTGGGCCACATATGGCCTTTTTAGGGCTTCCTGGAGGTGGAGGAGCTCACGAGTAATTTCTAATGAAGACAGAAAATGACAAGCCATGTGTGCCGGTAAAGGCCTAACTTAGAAGGAAAGGCAGGCCCAGGGGAACATGGACCCTACACGGTCCGTGTGCTGGGGGCACAGTGGACATCTGTGTCCAGCCCCGCCTCCATGCCTGGTGCTGGCATTCTGAGGACGGCCCCCAGCTCCCGAAATGAAGCTTTCCTTTTCAGGAACATCCGACACTTGGCTAGCTTCTTTCTATCAGGAGTGCTTTAAGATGGACGTCGGGGTCCCTGTTTCCTCCCTATTGGCTGCCACACATGTCCGTTCCGTTGGACTGAGCTGGGCAGAAGCCTCAGACTGTAGGCCTTCCTGGAACAGGGGCAGCGCTGGCCACGAGATACCTCCCTGCAGCCTCCACCCTGGCACACCCAGGTGGCATTGACTCAGGCTGGTTGCTGGATTTCTCTGAGCCTTGGCGTGCTCTACGCCGCAGGGCTACACATGTTCCCAGCTTGAGAGAGTGCTGGGGATTGACAAGTATATGAAACCTATAAAGCGCAATGACTTTCTAAAATTCTGCATTCCCAACGCGCCCCTCGGCTCTCTCTCACTGGTCCAAGTTTGCGTGCCGTCCATAAATCCCTTTCTGTGGACGGTGATCATAGGATTGGGGGTGGGCGGGAGGATTGTGGAAAGATTGCGAAGAGGTCATTGCAGGACCCAGACAGGCCTTCGCAGTGGGTTTCAGAGTAACACTCAGGTTCTCCGGTGGAACTTTCAAAGCTGGTTCCAAGAAAGACCAAGTGGATAAACCCACTCCTGGACACAGTGCCAACCTAGAACTGTCAGCTCCTAGAACTGTCCTGCGGAGGCCGGCTGGGCCTCTCACGGGGGTGCTCATTGTGGTTGAAGTCAGCTTTGATTCTTGACCCTGACTCAGGATCACAGGGAAGGGAGCTTGGTAAGACGGCACAGCTGGGGCCCCACTTTTCGGGTGAAACTGGAGCCATGCAAGGGGCTGGGGATCGACTTAGGAAAGAGCCCAGCACTCAAAGCGTCCTGGGCCTGCATGTAAAGCTCACCCCCCGGGCAAACGGCAAGGAGTGCTTCCTTCCCCGGGTTCTACATCTGTGCTCCCTCTCAAAATGCATAAAAGCCTGAGTTATTCGGATGCGAGACGCAGTGTCTCTGTTTCCTCTGTCTTAGTTGGGGTTTCCTCCAGAAGGAGATCCTGAGAGAGGACTTGAGGATCACGTAGTTTATTTGAGTGAAGATCCCAGGAGTAGGGTGAGAAGGAAGCTGACGAGGAAGGCGTGCGTTATCGAGTAAGTTACCGCCATGTGCACAGCTGGAGCTGAATCCCACCGGGGAACCCCGAGACACAGAGCTGACACCCCAGAGTTAATCCAGCAAAATGGGGAGACAGCTGGGGTATTTATTCACCGAGTCTATCACTGATGGAAGGCTGTTTCTGGAGACAATTTCTGAGTGGCCCTGCACACACCTGAGCATACTTCCCAAGCCGGGGAAGTCCTTGGGCCGAGAGACAGGCGTGCATGAGAAGCAGACCTGGAGTGGAAGGCAGGCATCACAACTAGCTCGTGAGCCGGTTCAGACACAGACCGCAGGCCTGCTACCCCCCCACCTCCCAAACCCCCAGCCCCAACCCCCTCCCTGCCCTTGCCCGTGCCAAGTTCCTGACTCCCTAGGTCTGGAGTGGGGCCCGAGAATTTGCATTTCAAAAAAACATCTCACAGCGATGTTGGTGCAGCTGGTCTGAAGTCTTGACTTTGAGAACCACTCACTGGTGAGAGTTTCCAGCCCTTACCTGTCTCCTATTGATGGTTCCCCCCTCTAATTTATAATTATGTTTTCACTCCGCTTCATGTCACAGATCCCAGGATCCGTGCTGTGAATTTAGAAGTGGAGAATTAATAAGCATTTATAACTCCATGCAACCATTGCTGGCAGCTTAAAT